TACGTGCGAAGAGAGCACGGAAGGGTAGTTGATGGGCAGGAATACGCAATACGTAAACAAGCCATCTGCGGCGGTGTAGAGGGATTACTTCTGTTAGGGACGACTATTCGCATCCAATACACGACAACGGATGGTAACCAAAGAGGTATGTTCTAACAACCATGTCGCACTTTTATCTGATATGAGAGGGTGTTTTGAAAAGGGTTGAACGACCAACATTTCAAAACTACCCATACAAGACAAAGGTCACAGCGATCGCGGAACAAAACAAGCCTCAATCAAAATCCTAGTCAGTGCGTTTTTCCTACCACCAAGAACAAGAGAAAATTTTCCGACACTGCAGTTCATCGCGGCTTCGAGCGCTCAAGATTTGACACTTTGGACGGCAGAAAAANAGAAAAAGCCTCTGTTCATCTGATTAGGTTTGTCTCTTGGTCGCCTGCATGGATGAGCTGGTACACACCACCTTCATTCTACGTCAAATTTTAGAACACAGGCACTCCTTTCGTAGACCCACCGTTTCTATCTTCCTCGATCTGAAAGCGGCTTTCGACTCAGTTGACCGCTCCAAGCTCCGGTACTCTCTCTCNGGGTGCGCCCGAGAAGTTGATTTCAACATTACAATCGCTTTATAGAAATAGCCGAAGCCGAGCCCGAGCTTACGGCACTTTGTCACCCGAGTTCACCACAAAATGTGATGATCGACAGGGTCGCCCTCCGTTTCTTTTTGACTTCGTCATAGATTCTTGAAACATCCCTGTCTTCGGTCGAGGATACCAGTATCGATTTACTCCCAGGTGGACAACTGTCAGATCTAGAGTATCTAGGCGATATTGTGCTACTAATTGAAGATCTAGGTAAGTTGCAAGCTTTTCTGGATAGTTTGAGTACTAGTGTAGCCATGTTTGGTATGCGGTTTGTTCCTTCAAAGTGTAAAAAGTTGCTCCAAGATTGGGTTGGTCCCGCCCCCAACCTCACCCTGAGTGGTGAAGTGGCAGAGGAAGTCCACAAATTTTGCTATCTGGGCAGCTACATCTCACCTAACGGACGCATCACGGATGTCGGCGCGTATGCAAAAGGCTCGATTGGCATTTACCAACTTGAGGTATCTGTGGTGACATCCGGCTGTCTGTGAATGGTCGAGTGTATGCTGCAGCAGTCCGGCCAGTTCTGCTATACAGCAGAGACTTGGCCACTATGGGAACATGGTAAAAATAGGTTGTCGGTTTTCGAACACCGCTGTCTACCTCTCATTGCCCTAGTCTGGTGAGGAAACCGGACGAGCAATACTGGGGTTAAACGTCGGGTTTTAGGTGAATGCGGTCGTCCACTGGAGCAAGTAGTCGACTTGGATAGATTTCACTGGTTGGGGCAAGTGCTACGTATGTCACCAAAGAGTTTGCCACGGCGAGCAATGTTTTCCGAGGCAAGTAGCGGGTGGAGACTAGGTCACATAGATCCCGTTAGGCCTCCTGGCTGGGGACCCCGAGATCACAGTCCCGATAGTTAGAGACACTGAGTGATATGATTGGGTGTCGCAAACAGTGGCACCCATGCCTCTAATCATTATTCTTGCAACCTGAGTCTATATGAATTCTCTATCTTCCGCTTCAATTTACTCTCAACATTCCAATATTCATTCTGCTATTTTATCCAAATGGGCGGCCAAGAGACAGTAACCAAAACCGGCGCACGAAAGTGCATGGTTAATGTTTGTAAAAACTGAAACTGAATGACTGGTACACACCAGGGTAGCTTTATCAACGGGAGTCATTGTGCCATTTCCTTGTGTTTGTATTTCACGCATCTGAATCCAGACTGTGTGCCAGAAAAAGCTTGATACAATAATTTTTATAAAAATAAAAATTCCATGATTTGTGGCAATCCGTCATTTGACAAATTTATGAAAAACATTTAACAACAATGTTTCTGTTGAAGTAATCAATTAGGAGATCTAAGAACTGTGTCGTCACAAAGCGCCGGGTCTGATGGCCTTCACTCTATCTAAGGATGATGAAATAAAGCTGATCAGAGAACTGGATGCTCTAATCTACAAGGTTTGAAGCATTAATCTGGTCTCATCTCCAGTGAGTAGAGTCAATTATTGTCACATTCTTTGAAAAGGTACGCACGGTGACGGCGCCAACCACAGCCGTATGAACCTGATCCCAATAACATTGATGTTCAAGGTGCCCATCATTATTCGTAGATTGTACAATGCACGTCACTTGCAAACCAGCAAGGGGCATTTTGGTGTTTGCGCCGTTCATGGATGCATCGATCGATCGATCTTGTTTCTCAGACATTTACTAGAGCACCGTTTGCATTCCAAAGATAGTCGATCATTGTATTCCTAGACATCCTTTTGGTTTTGAATTTCTTGGACAAGGGTACACTACTGGACTGGTTTCATTTCATCGTGCTTTCCTCTCCCATGCCTTCTTTGTCAGACAGCATTGCATTTATTACTCTCCGGTGAGAACATTGGTCCGGAGGAAGCGCTACGCCTGCACCTGATCGATCACATTATTCCCGGCGAGCTATTACCGGACGGAGGGGGACGCACCGTGGTGGCCAGTCCGCTTGATGAGACTGTTAACTGGTTGAATAGGATGATCGGAAAGCTCCCTATTCCGATTGTGCACGCGACCAAGTGTCTCATTCATCAGATCTGCTCACAGTCAGCGTGTGATGCGCTCCAGATCGAACAGACTCAGTTGGCATCTGTCTGGGGTAAACAAGCGCATCTATCTGCACTTGCGTCTCGCCGGCAGTCGACAAGTTGCCACGCTCGAGATGGGGACGAACACTAGCATTGTTTTGCTTTCTCGTTTTGTCCAAATGACAGTTGTATTTTCTATTAGTGCAAGGAATTCGAGAACGCACCAGGGGTACCTTGTCTGTTTTGGCACTTCCCATTAGAAATGATCGAATTTCTTCCAATCAGATGTACTTATTTCAGTGCAGTTTTTTCATGTTTTGCCCATTTTTTCCATTGGAATTGTCTTTGATTTTAAATTAACTTAACATCAACATATGCTCATTTCTGTCGTGATGGTTTGCTCTAAGTCTTTTGGGGGTGGCATAATACGCTTTCTTCTGCTTTTAATCAATGCAAACTTCAAATAAATTGGTGCGGCGACCAAGCGGTTTAAATTACCGTGACTGATGTGCTCTGGGTCATGGAGTTTTCAGGTTAAGGCCTTGTGTGGTTCTCCTCTTCACATACCAGAGTTTGGGTTGCCATTGTCCAGGGTTGGACACCATGTCCTCGGGGCTACCGAGTTAGGCCCTGAGTATCATATTCCGTTTGACAACAAATGCTAAACCAGAGTGGTCCTGGTGGTCCCTCCTGGAAAGTTGTCACCCTCACCTCTTCGAGCGAACAGTCTGTCCCAGTCCCGACGGGATTTACCGTTGAACCCCCTCCCCCCCCCCTAAGGACGAACAACACCTTCGTTCA